GTATTTCCTATCTCTTCCCAAAAACCGCATATCAATCTGATATCACTGGACAGAATTATTTAGTGTTACCTTTAAAAAGAAACACACTGTATATTATATTGCAATGTATATCATTATCATTTTTTAGACATTTTTAGAGATTATTCTCATATTTGCATATTTCCTTATATCAAAGTGGTCACGACGGTGGCATCAAACTCTATATTGAGTTTGAACCTTAGCTCAACATATTTTGAAAATTTAGAATGGAACCGCTTCATATTGGGCTGACGTTTGGTTGCCAGACCGTATGAAGGCTTCGATAAAAAATTAAAGCCTAGCATCAATATTTGTAGGATAAAAAACCATTATTTCCCCCCCCCCCCCCCCCCCCCACACGCAAATACACACTGATACACCATTGGAGCCGATATTTAGATATTGTGGACTTTTAAAATATGTTTCACCCGACTTAATTTTTAAGACTTCGGCGCCACTAGGTCACGTTATATTGTACAATTAACAGCTTCAGATTATAATATTTATTTATACATATGCACTAAAAAATCGTGATAAATTTATCGTTTATACTTAATTTAAATATTCAAATATTATTATATATGATTATTATTTAAACATTTTCCAGAAGTATTTTCCACAAATGAAATATAATTTAAAATTGTAAATAAATTTATCTATTAGCTTTTTTTTTTACTTTTATCAGTATCTAGTGATATGAATAGCTAAAATAATATTATGGATTTGGAAAAAAGTATAGATCTTATATATAATACATTGTTAGTCAGATAAAGAGTTAGATTAAGATAAAAACATATATAATGTCTACTATATTTTTATAGTACATGTTCAAAGTTATTTAACTAATTGTTTGTTATTAATTGAACCGTTATATTTAATATAATTAGACCATTCTTTAGTCCTTCAGCATGAAAAATCACTGATAGTCTAGGAATCATCAATAAAGTCAACATTTCATATGGAAAAATAAATTAACTGATCTTGATACTGTTTTAAGTTTATTAATTAATCCATATTACCTAGATATTCACATTAAATCATGTACGTATTTGAAAGGATTAATTTGACTTACTGTAACTCGATATCAACTGTATTTTATTTACAATATTTACATTATTTATTCAAATTCACATTAATAAATAATATTATATGTAAAAATATAGTTTCAATATAATTTCAAAGCATATATTATATTTATTATAAAAATATTTAACACTTAATAAATCATATATTAATTATATAAAATGTATAATATTAGTTTTCTTTAGTGGGATACTTTTTTATTTTTATTTAAAAAAACTTGTTCTTTTACGTTCAAAACCTAGATTGAAAATAAATTGCTTATAATTTTGATTAACCACTTTCACAAAATAGAATCACTTAATATTTTATAGTTAGTGATGATAATGAAAATATTAATCTTTAAATTTAACCTCGACCTAAAAGTGATTTACCACATCACTATTTTTATATCAAACCCATTATGATTATTCAAAATGGACCTACCAGTTACCAAACCTTCATTAATTCATTAACTGATTATAGCTACTTACATTGATAGCCAGTTGATGTCAGCATAAACATATATAAAGGATCACAAGTAAATTCATTTCATTATTATTATTAGTATTATTATAAATTGAAAGTTAAAAATAAATATTTCTATATTTTTTGTAAAAGCTTCTTAATTATGACATATATTAATTAGAGGAAATTGTTTAATTGCGTTGTTAAAACACAATATATTAAGTTATTTATAGATATAGTCTCTCTCTCTCTCTCTCTCTCTCTCTCTCTTGCAGTATTCAATCTAATGATTGATTTGCAGCAACTTCAGTGTTTCCCTGTCACTAGCTTTCCTCTTCAACTCTTGATATGAATTACATACTTGATCTTCTATTATCTGATTTACGTATTATAATCTTGGTTTTCCACTTTGAATTTTTCCATCACACATAGATATAGTATTCATAAATAACTTAATGGTTTATATTAAAAAAAATTGTTTACCTAAAAAATAAACTTGTGAATATAAATATAATGTCAACTAAACTTTAGGTATATGCTATTAAATCAGCATGAAATACTTTAAAAAAAATTATATATATATTAATAATACGCATTGGGTACGTAATGAGAACATTTTAACATTTACTAGTTTAATATTCAAAATCATGATTTTAAATTTTATTCAGACAGTAGTTGCCTTATTCAATTTTTAATATTTTTATTGTATTTTTTAATAATTATTAAAGTATAATTATTAAGAAAAATAGAATTACTAATAGATTTAATGCATAAGTAAATAACGTGTTATACATTTACTGCTTCAATAATATTTATATCTTTGGATTTTATGAAGTTATTTTAAAAAAATTATGTATTTAACATTTTTCTTAGCTATTATCTGGCAAAAATAATAATTTAAATCGTATAATTAACCTTGATTTTAAAAAAGAAAAGTGGATGATTTCATGATGGTTTCGTGTTTTTATATCATTTAACACGTGTATAGTTAAGAAATCAATCAAAAATGTAATGATTATTCATATATAATTCGTGAAACAACATTTAATTTTAAAAAAATATTTTATTTTTTGTTAATAATATTATTTTCATATCGAACTGAAAAATAGTAACATGCTTACTTATTTTTATTGAGTATTAAACATAATATATTTTGTTGAATTGGAAAACCAATTAATATCATAATAATTTGGTTATCTAACATATCATATTACATTATGTATTTTAAATACTATTCGAGTATCAATATGTGTATATTATGTCTTGAAATATGTATAAATCTATCATTTATAAACAATTTATCACTCAAACGAAGAAAAACCCATCATTTTGCCATGTTAAAAGTTAACTTACATAATATTGTGTATAAATTATTTACAATTTAATATAAATTTATTTTTATATGAGTTAAAACATTTTAATTATAATAATATTTATTATTTTAACATTAGATTCTGATCTGAAAGTACTGCTTTAATTTAGCTTAGAGTTACTCTTACACTTAAATGAAACCTTAGTATTATTTCATAACGTTTAATAATTTAAATAAATTATTTTAATTTTCCTGAATAAATAAATTACCTTCATTTTCAATTAACTCTTATGAAACTGACCATAATACTTATACTCTATTTTGAAGAAATTTAATTTGATTAACTTACTTACATATCAATAAAATTGAATATTTATACAATTTTAATTAAAATATTTATTTAAGTATAAATAATTATGATATCGAAAGAACCATACAAAAAAATAACGTTCAATTATTTATAAAATAATAGTTATAACTCATACAAAATTACGATCACTATTTACTAAATATAATTGAGATTGAATTAATAAAAAAAATTTTTTTCTAACTTTAGACTATATATGTATAACTATCAAATTTTATACTTTAATCATACTATGTGTATAAATAACATTATAAAATGTATTTAACAATATTAATATTAATAATAAAATATTAACAATATTAACAGTTATTTTAGTAATAAAAATAGAAGGATTGGTCTCTTTTGATTATCTATTCTTTAATAGAACTCCTTTTTATGTACATTTCTCAAGGAATATCGATGTTATACAACTACTAACAGGGAAAAATTGCTTGTTGCGGTTTATCGAATAAGACTAATATGTAAGAGAAGGGTCAAGGAAACAACTCACATCCCTTCATTTAGCTCTAGCTCCTTGCGTGAATATTACCATGGGTTGATAATTTTTTATTCATCCCAGTGCGCTAAAAATCTCGTTCGTGTATGTAAATCTATACATTAATACATCTAAATCAAATTTTGAGTTAGGTTCGGTACGCGGGCATCTATTAAGGTTAATCAACTACGGAATATTTAGTGTTTTCATGGAATTTTATGATTTTAAAATTAAAAATATTAAAGTATTTTTATAATACCTTACATTTAATGAAACATGTATATTCGTATGATGGAACTAATGATTTTCATAGAAATTTCACACTATTACTATCTAACACTATAAACAATTTGGATTCTTTTAAGTGGGAGCATGCTTTGATTTGGTTCTTGGCAAATAATTCAATATATTCCTTAATTCCTTATTTATTATTCATTTCGATAAAAATATATTTGCATTTTTGGATATCACATTTTTTTAAGTGAAAATTCTATAAAATTGTTGTGTTCTGATAACTTTTATCTCTTTTTATTATAATATCAATACGTTAATATTGTCGCATATGTTGTTAATGTATTTCGGTTGTCAGTTTTCAAAATGTTTATACATTTTTGACAATTTTAATGCCATTATTTCAGATGATGTACGTTGCACACGCACTACCGTATATTTTACAATAATATTGCAAACAAAAAATATTATCATGACCCACTACTACACGACGCCCGTTTGCGTTGGCCTCTTTCGTCCCGCAGGTTCTGTAAAACGTTTGACGTCATCCCTCCAGCTTTCCCCCCTCCACATCGTCACTCCGCCACCGACAACCGTACACCTATCCCTCCCCAAATCACCACCCACTGAACGGCTACTGCCGGTCTGAATTTAAAACCACCCCGTGGGAGGCTTCATAATAAATTTGTTGTGTCGCGGGATTTCCATTTCGCCGCGGCAACACCCGCGTAGCCTAAATTTTTCCGCGAGTCTGCGTCGAACGGCCGCGGAGTGTCAGTGCGGTCGAAAGATGGGTGGGCAAAAAGGTGGTGGACCGTGAGGGTGTGGGTGGGGGAGTTCGGGAGAGGAATTTCGAGGGATACATGAAAACTATGCCGCCACGTTGTGACGGGGATCGGAGGGGGCACATCCCGGACGAAGCGCGACGTGTGCCTGTACGCCTACACGAGGGCCGCCATGACGTCAGAACCCCCTAGCAACGGTGCTGCCGCTCGTGACGTATCTCTCCGTGACGTCAATCATCATATTGGCCGGAGCCCCCGAGGCAACGCTCGTCGTGGCGGCCGACCGGGTCTTGCATTCTGTCTGTCACACGCGCTCCGTACGCTCTGCCGTTCTGTTCCTTTAGTTGTTAATAAACACAATTTTTTTTTCACTTTCGTTAATGTGTACGTACATGTATCAATATAATATTTAATTTCTTGTATAAAAACTGTCTTGCGGATCGTGTTTTCGATTGCGGATACTCGAATTTTTCGTCACGGTTAAACAATAACTTTAACTCGGTAACTGACTTTTTATATCACGAACATTACACATATACACACATATATATATATATATATATATTATATATATTAAACGTATATTCCTACATTTTTATGTACCGTCGCATATTTTCGGTCACTTTTTTTATTTTGATTTTATAAAACTCAACGCTGGCAACCCAATATAGTTCCAACGGAATCACTTAGCCATTGGTAAGTCATCTTTGATAATGTTATATTTATTGATATTTCTTTTTTTTCGTTTAAACATTTTTCAACGCTGTTAAAATTATTAGGTTTGTAAAATGCTATCATATTACTCGCGCGACGACACGTGCGCAAAACCGGTTCACCCAACAAAAATTGACATTTTACTTATTTATGATTAACAAAATCTATCCCGGACTCTATGTAATTATTTTTCCATTAAATTACATCATTAAATTAATCTATCCGTGAATTTCACTGGTCTCTAGTTTTATGGAGGTCACCATTCGATGCGTTTGCAAATTGCGACACTTAGGAAAATATTTGTATACTTCCGTATAATTGCATTCAAAATGCTCTTGTGCAATTTCCAGTCAATTAACTATTGTATTTCCTATTCATGATGTTAGTTTACGGGAAATGGAAAAAATAAACGGTACATGTATCGTGAAATAAACAAAACGACTGAATTTATAAATCCATGTACTACCTATTTTAAATTTCTGCTATATAATAATGATTTAAAGCAAATAACATTTTTATAGTCATTGTTTTTTTTTTTTTATATATATAGATATTTTATACCGAATAAGGTTCTTTTTTTTTTCTTTATGGTACAGAGGTTCTCAATATATTAATCGAATAGTTGTAGATTGATAATTTACTATCGAAATACTTATTATTAACTAGAACACGTCCATTTATAAATGTTATAAATGAATAGATTAGATCTACGTAGACATTTAACTTAATATGAATTTTTCTAATTCCCCACTATCTTTAATATTCGACTTTCACCCTTAATGTTAATTTTAATTTTAATAATAAGCAAATTTATATTTATGTTTTTGGCGTTATTATGGTATTTACTATTTGCCTTGGTACCTATTAACTTTCTTTAGGTGGTGGAATGAATCTCATAACAGAGGGAGGTGGATACTGTGTATATAAAATTTCACCTTGGGCGAAGCATCGACCGTTAAAGGACGTGTCCTGGCGAACGCCATCAATTGTTGCTGTAGGTTTTTAAAATGGTTAATTAAGAAAAAACGAAAACGATATAGGTCAATGGCCAATCGAGAAGATGTCATTTATATATTAAATTTAATGAGAAAACGTTAAACAACGGTTTTTGGGACGTAGAATTACTCTTTAAAATTTACCAATAGCTTTTAATTTCATATCTTTCAATTTATATTAAAGATGAAAACGAATATAATTTCTGAAGTGATTAAATTGCATATCAGCGTTATAGTTAGCTGTTGTACAAATTACGTAATCTGAACCTTCTTATTTGTCATTACAGTTTTATCAGTGTTTTTTTTTTTTTTTAATAATTATATAATATACCTATGTATACTAAAATATATCATACACCTTCATCACTAAAAATGTTTGCAGCTTTAGTAGGTCAATACTATTCTGGTTCAGTTTAGTGATTAACTGTGATTATATTTTTTGATAGTTAACCCGAGTATTAAATTCTTATTTTCAAAAATTGTATTTACTAGAAACCTATTTTTAAAACTTCTCATAAAAATGGATTATAACATTCTTTTAGTTTCTTAAAATTAAAATTAAATGATTAAATAAAAATTACTAAAAGTACATTAACGAACTTCAAAATACCTAATTAAAACTATGAAAGCCATAATATTATCATATAGTTCACATATTTATAATTAACACTTTTACTATTAAAACGTCTTGAAACTTTGTATAATTTTTGCAATTAACAATTGTTAAAAATGATTAATGATTCAGATATGATTAGATATGATTAACAGTGGTTGTTTAAGGTTCGAGAAAAATTTAGTAATACACAATATTAAATTATTCGTATTATTTAATTTTATTATAAATATGTTGTAGTTATAACTAAATTTTATATATGATAAACAAAGTGTAAAAAGTAATTAAAGAATTCCAAAATGAACATTTAAGTTGCATTAAAATTTCCCATTTATTGATTACTATTATTCTATATTTGAAGAATTATTGATTCAAAACCTTTTAATAACAATAATTCAATTAAAAATATGCTAGTTATGGATAGTACTTTCAGTTTAAGGTATCATAATAAAGCAAACTGTATTGAACAAATACTTTCCTTTAAGAGTTAATGGTTTTTTTTTTTTATTCAATTTTCTTATACACAATTTTAATATATTTAACACTCATTGATACTTTTAATTGACTAGCTGGTTTAATGCCAATCGGTACTAATATAACAATAAAAAATAATGACCCATAAAACTCGTTATCGATACAATCATTAGGTTAATAGAAGTAAGAACAATTTTAATTGAAGAGTTTGTTCCAATATCAAGTAAATGTAGTTAATTTCGTTTTCGTATGATAACAAATCAAATAATTAGTTATATTTGTATACATACAATGTTGTATAGTTCAAAGTAATAATTTGGTTTAGGAAAAAATATCATATTATATTATTATCAATTTCTTAACTTCATTATCTGTTAAAAAAACTAAACTAACTTAAACTAGTGCTAAATAAAAAAACATTTTAAATCTTAAGAACAATTATGAATAATAAAAAACTATTTTTTTTTAAACGATTCAAATATTATAAAACTAATTAATATTTTCTTTTTTTTTTTTTTGTAGTACCTATGCCTTTAGCATATTTGTACAATATATATTATATCCAAAAGAAAATTTAGTAGATGTATATTTTAAATCTTTAAATGCAGGAAATGCTTATTTCGAGTATTTAAATAAAATTATTATTTGATTACTCCTTAAATTGAAGGCTGATTTTCTTTAGATTTATATTTCTATTTAGATTTATCTAAATATTATTAGTAAAAACTTAATATAATATTAAAAGCAATTTTGATTTATGATGTAAATATCACATGATTACATGTTTTAATCCTCCTATGTTTCACAATTAATATGTTTAATTAAAACTAAATTTATATTTATAGTTATTATATTTTAATTTTATTCAGTAATTCACTAATTATTCTAAATGTTTGACTTTTGTAATCTAAAACATATTCTTGAATTAAAATATAATGTTCCTGATACAAAAATAGAATATCATTAAAAAATCTTAAATACACGAATGCAATTTTATTTTTTTATCGGTTTTAGGTTTGAATTACTTGTAGTGTTTTAATTTAGTGCTAAGTGAGATGGGTATAAATTAATTTTAAAATATTAAAAATAATGAAAAATACAATGACATATAGAATGAATGGCCTCATACTCCGACCTACTGTCATGTTTTTGCATAAAAACATTACTTAGGCTATCCAATATTAAAATTATAGGTATTTGTAATTATTTTGCAGGATTTTATGGCATACATATGCAATTGTTCATTCAAGGTCATAAAACTCGATTCCATATAACTTGTCCAAAAACATATTTAACTTTTTTTTTTACTTTAATTTCAATTATTTACTAACAAATTATTATACTTTTGACATTTGCGACCTTTGAACTTGTTATGTAGTAATTTAAATCATTGTTATTCGTGTATTTTTGTACTTTTCGAAAATCTATAAAACCCGCTTGTCAAGAATTGTGTTTTATAATAAAAATATCGTAAAAACTTGTAGTTTTGTTCGTTGTTTTTTTTGTATTATATACTTTACTGGTGGGATCGGGAGGTGAAAACTTGTTCAAGGTTAACTTTGGCAAAAACTATACCGAAATCAAGGTCTATTAGAAACGGCATCGAATTTTATTCGAAACTTTATTTGAATTTGATGAATGATGACTATGAAGATATTTTAATGATTTTGACATTACTTTTTTTCGCGTACACGTGACTGTAGTATATACATGAAACTGTATGGGATGTATTGTTGCTTAGTCCTCCGTGGGAATTTCGTCGTTTGAGTTTTTAGTTAATATTACGAAATTACGTCAACAACTTGGTAATATTTTTCCTTCGTCTCATTATCTGCAATACACACACACACATAATACACACAGAGATAACACAATAGGATCATTGCCGGATATACATGCCATTGAGCTGGAATTATATACGTTTTTGAATACACAAGTCACAACACCATCATGCACATAGCGGTGAACTGGCATAATCATATAAGGCACTTGGGTTTTCGATTGATATTTATGTATGCCCATACACATTGCACAGAAAATAATTCTGACCCAATTAATGATTCAACAGCAGTTCATTAATTATCATTACTAAACAAGGCTATATTAGTCCATTATGAATCGAAAAACGTCATTAATGTTTTATATATTCTTGATTTTAATATTTAAAAACGATTGATCAAATTTTAAATGTGAGAATTGAACGAACACAACTATTGAAAAATAAACGTTCGTAAACACTCTCTTTCTTTGCGATATACGAGTATACCCCGATACCATACCACGATTTATATTGTTGTAATTTGTTCTAGTTCACATGTTCCGTTCACTTTGTAAAAATGACGTTTATCGTACCCACTGCAAACAATATATATATATATAAGCCAGCGAGTCTGATATTGCATTCGATTAGTATAGTCTTTATTTCTTGGTTGCATCGATTTTAACCTCAAATGATTACGTTTGGATATCATTTAATTATCTCTACATGTTGGTCATTAACATAACGCGCAATACCATCACTTATATTTTGTATAATATAGTATATGCGATCGATATTGAGCCTTTGTATAAAATAAAAAAATATACATGATTTACTATTTATGATTATACTTTTGAATATATTGATTTGATTGAAGTATAAATTGATTTTGCTATAAGTGCATGTGTTATGTGGCTTGTATCGTCTAGAAAATTAATAACTCATTTATTATAATCATTATCAATAGTGCACTCTTATGGTAATAATTATTTGACTTTAAATCATGTACAACTACTTTTGTTATACAACAGTATATAACTTAACCATGTATTGACGGCTTCAATTGTACATTATAAACATACCTGCAATGTAGGTATGTTGAAGATTTTTCTAAAAAAAAATTTTAATTCATTAAAAAATAATAAATGATTTGTCTTCGCAAAAATGACTGATACTAAATGTATTTTACGGATAATTTAATTAACGATTAAAACATTATTCGATTTTGACACAAGTAACTTTCACCGTATTAACTATCAACGTTTAGTTGTCAAATGTGTCTAAAATTGTAATGTAATTATTATAAATTATTATAATTATGACGGATGTTCAGGTGTTAGCAATTATTTTCTAACAATAAAATTGATTCAGCTTAATATTTTGTGAAGAATAAGGAGACCCATCTGCTTTAGTTCTTCGTTCTATTCAAAAAGACCTAGGACACCAAATATACCATCGTAGTGGTCTGAGGGGGGAGTAGACGTGGATGAAAGGGAAGAGTGGACAGTAGTGATAAACGAGCGTCTGGAACATTGTGTGCGTGACATGGTTTACTCGGTCTTACTCGGTCCGGATAGGGGAGGTTGTAGTGGTAGTGTGTGTAGCAGATAGTCATGTGGTGAAAGTGGGATTTGACCCAGATATTTCCCTAGGCTCCCTGAACTTTACAGAGGGGTTGGTTGCGTAGATATATATGTAGTATATGTATATGTTTACGGTTTGTTTGTGAGCGTTGTAAACTTGTGCCCTAAAATACAATCGATTCGAGTGTATCTAACTCCTTACACCATCTCCCAACCAACATATGTGTTAAAAATACATTCACATTGTTCTTATTTAGATATAATATGGTAAAAAACAAAGTCTTAATACAACAGTAATTTATATTGTAATCTTCTTTTTTGTGTTTGTGTACTTGTGAAGTGTACTGCTATAAATCCATTGTGTTATCTTTTTGTAGATATATTGACTTTGATGTTTTTTTTTTTTTTTTTGATGTAGAGAAGTTTATAAAATAATCAATAATAATATTGTTGAGACACTTATTTTATGGACGTTCTGCGAACATTAAAGATGTATTTAATTATATTCGAGTATTTATTATCTCAAAATGATAACATTGTAATTTATTAAATAGTTTCGATTACTTTATTCCATTGTGGCATTTAATAATATTTATTTTGAAAACGGTTCCTTGATTGAAAATATAAAAATATACAAATAAATTTATTCCATACTGAATATTTTAAATTATTGTTAAATAAATGGTTCTTTATTATTATTTTTTGAACATCGAAAAATACATCTATATAACATTGTTACTTTTGAGTAATGATTATTGTTATCATAACATATGTATAATAAATATTTTCTTATACGAAATGTAATATGAAATACTGCGTATTACCTGTGTATATTATTTTCAGTGGCAATTACAAAATTATAATAATTGTCTGCTGTAAAAATAAAATTTAATAAGTGTTAATAATTGGTTTTTGTTTTATATTTTTTTTTACCATTTAATTGTCTTGTAATTTACAATTTGACTAAAAAAATTATTAATAATTAATGAGTGACAACAATTATGATAACAATAATTTGTCATATTTAAATTTTTATCGTCCCGAGCATATAATTATCAACCGGTAGAAATATTACATATTATATTATTAAAAAATATTTTTGATAACATTTCGTTTGAATTTTAAAATATCATAACCCCACGAATATAATTTTTATAAATATTTTTATGTATAAAGTACGCAAGCATATTTCTATGTTTCTTATTTTAATATTAAATTATATTTAAATTACCATAAAAAAGCAACAAAATTGCAAATATTTAAAGAGACCTTCGAATTTAATACAATAAATAGATAATGATTCTGAACTCATTTCCATATTAACTCATTGATGAATAAAAGGAAAATTAGATGTTAAAATTAAAATAAGTGATTTATTTTCGACTCAATTTAAACCCTATACATTTAGTCTAAGTAGCTTGTCAACAAAATTCAAAGTTATATCATTCTATAACAAAAAAAAGTATTTGCATCTTTGTATTTAATTTTAACACAATTTAAAAATCGTTTTTCATTTTAAACATCTTGGTAATTTAAGTGTACAACCAATCTGAACAATTGATTTTTGTAAGATTTAAAATATTAATGAATTATTAATTAAAATGTACTTAAACTATAAAACTAAAAAATTATTTGTTTTAAATTTTAAGATATAGGTATATATTTATAATTTAGTGTGGTGGTATCTTACATTATATTTATCGTCTGATTTAAAATAAATTATCTTTTTATTTTTCACATAATATACATATTTTTAAATAAATAATAATAATATATTAATAAAATGTATAGTTAGGTATGACTAGTTATAATAAAACGTAATATATATTTTTTATTAAAAAAATAAATACTTCAAGAGTTTAAAAACATTATAGTTGAATAACGCGTAATGAATTTATTATTAATTTATACATATCAATTGTAATGAATATTCTGCTTAAATGAATATTTTAAAAAATGCAACTTTTAAATGTATAAGTTTCATTATATATTTAAATATATGCTTAATTTCTCTGATGAAAAATATATTAAAACCACTCTGTATAATATGATTTTAAAAAATAAACATCAGCTGCAGCATTCAACGTAGCAACTACATACGTTAGATAGTATATGAAATATTTTTGATAAGATCGTTGTAAATACATCATGGCTTGGCATAGGTAAAGGTCATTGTAATTTACTCGTGGAACGGAAAGTTTGCCTAAAAATAATAACATTACGGTCATTTTATATAAACCGGCTATCTTTTAGATGTCTTAGATAGGTACACGTGTAAGCTATATGCAACTAAAGTTATCGTTGCCAAAACACCCAAAACCATTTTTCACTTCCGATCGTTGAGTATCTATTTAGAATCATAATTTAGGAGCTATGTGTAGTTTCTAAAAACGCGTTTAAATGTATCCCCACTCACGCAGATATGGAATAATATATAAAATGGTATTTTCTTTTTAGGCTTTTTTTTAGTGATATTGGCCTGTATTTGTCGTTTTAAAAATACACTTAAAAAAAAAAATTGTTTTTGGACCCCAACGATTGATATATGTAACAACATTTATACATCATATAGTACACATTTTTTTAGTTTATAATTTTCTGATAGAAAACAATTGAAATTTTAACCACTTAAAATAAACCTGTACAATTAAATTTTAAAAGAAAATTTTACCTAGAACATGAAGTTTTTGTTTTTTTTTATACAAAATATTATCATCCTTCGTTTTCCACTTTTATAGTATATTTTATATAAGAAAAATAATTATTGATCAAAATCGTTGTCTCATGATAAAACTATAAAAGATAAATGGATTTTTTTTTAACATTATACAAAAAGCTTAATACATCAAATCATAAATATAGATAACAAATTTGTTTGATTTCCTTATATATTACTAAGACTGTGGAAATTTTAAAAAGGAAAATTACTTAAAAATTGTTGATTATAAATCGCATAAAAAACATAATTTATTCGAAATGGTTGGAACAAATACATGCAAATGAAATAATGAATAATAATAAATCAAACTACCTGTTAATAAATGCTACTTATATTAAATGTGATATTGAATTTAACAAATAATCGTTAAAATTATTTAATTACTTATTATTTATTTTTTAATTCTTTAAAAATATATTTAATATGTTTTTCTATTGTAAAATATACATTTATAATCAATATTGATACCATTATTTTATTTTTTCAAGTACAACAAAAATCTTATTTTTCCTGAAACAATTTATAAAAATCTTCACATTTTTAGTTGGCAATGTATCATCTTATTTATAAAATATTACTTTTGTACTTTAAATATAATTATTTGGTTTTTTTTTTTATTATTATATTTGTTCACTATTTTATACTATACATTAAATAACTATACATTCAAAGCATATAAAATATTCATGAAATAAAATAAATCTTGGAATACAAATTCATAATTCCGTTTGTCATTGTTATTACTGAAGCTTATTTTAAATTTCTCTATGAAATAAGAATAAATATTTTTATAGATTTAAGTACAACAATTTAAAATTTAGTTTTATAACATATTATTTGATGATAAGTAATTATATTTGTTTCTTTATAAATAATAAAAATATAATTTAAAAATAAAATAATTTTTCAGGAAACTCTTTTTGGAAATAAAAGTTTGCGTTGTGGTCAATAATCTAAAGACCACTGAGTTCTAACTAATAGTTTAATTTGATTCTACTGACAACCAGCAAACACTCGGTAAGTAAACACATTAAATAATTTATAATAATTAAAATTTAAATTAGAGGACATATACATTTTGAATACAATTTTACAAAACTGAATAACATATTATAAATACGTGAACAAATAAAGTTTATTAAAAGTATTTTAGAGTTCTATTTTAGTATTAAGTTTCTCTGCAAATCCAGGCTAAACTATACAGAAATATATAAGTTTCTCTTGTTTTCATTGTTTTCAATAATATTTCTCGTAGTGCATTGTCATAAGTATACTATACGTTAAATCACGTATCACTGCCAATTTCGCTTTACAATTATCTTTTGTCTCCGATGCATAAATTAAATTTACTAACTTTTTGCTTTCTCTATGTATACATACTTATAGACGTTCATACAAATAATCGCTTTCAAACGATTTTCAAAACATTCAAATTAACAAACTAGAATTTTTCTTAAGGTTTTATAATTTTTATAGATGCTTCAAATAATTAAGTTTTTTAATTTCATTATTTAAATAACCAATGTTTAGTTAACTATACATAATCACATATTATATTATTAAAGATTATTTTAATACTTATTTAAATCCTTTATTTTTAAGCAGGTAGTTAATATTATGTTCTTATATCTATATTTATATAAATTAAATCATACTCGCACGATATATATCTATTATGTATTTGGAAATTAATTTCAAATTATTTCTGAAGTCATCTATATTAATAGTAAAATTCAATAGAAATTCAATATTCTAATTATTGAACAAAATGTATAGTTTGCAAACAAAATCCAGCTACTGTACAGCATTTAATTTTGGAATTAATTGGTCAATATTTTCTATATAATAATTAATTTTGACTAGACAGTGATAACTACCGTTCCTTATTATTATTTTAAATAATTTTATGTGACAAGTCACTTGACTTCTGTAATGATAACGTATTCCAAGGACGACTAATTAAAATTAATTTATAGATGGTAGAGGGTAAACATAAGATACTATAGTTCAAATGAAGAGATATACTTTTAATAAGTCGATTTTCACAAAGCGTTATCATATTATATCGCGTAATCAATTATTTAACTAATCTTTACTAATATAAACTTTATCTCTGAATTCTTAAATGTATGGCGCATACTATATATTATACATATATTAAGTAGGAATAATATATTTCTTAACATACCTGAAAATCATCACAGTATTAATATTTAAGCATTGAACTTCCAAATTTAGTATAATAACAATTATTTGATGTACCTATTACTCTTCTAACTGACATAATTTTACTTAATGATATTGATAATCATTATAATATATTGGTACTCTATTGTTATTTTTAAATTAATTACTGTAACTTTCTTAATATTATTTATAAATGTTAATAATTTATGAAAACAAATGTTAATTTCGCATAATTTAATATAATTTATAAGTAAAAATTATTTTTATTTTTTAAAAAATAAAATTAGTAGATATCAGCATAGAAAAAAAATGTAAATTATGAATATTATCAAAAATAATGTACTATACAATGTCTATTTGACTTCGAAAATATTATTATAGCTGAAAATAAAGTAAAATGTGAAGTTTCATTTTTTGTTAAAACTTCAAACCATTTCCAACTCAGTAAACCTTGTCCTATAGATCACTTCATTATGATTTCAACGGGTGAAAGACCTCGACATGAATCAATAAAGTATACGAGGTACTATATGCACACCTGCGGGTCAACGGGTTACCGTGAACGACCGTCTACTATCATTTTGCTTTAATCATATATAAGACAATGTTTTTTTTTCTTTTCTTTCTTTCTTTCTTTCTTTCTTTCATAACCTCTGTCTTTCTTTTTTACTATAAAAAACGATTGTTCTATCTGTACATATATGGCTATATATAGTTGATTACATTTCTTATTTCATTATTTCTGTACATTTGACTTAAGTATTTTTCACCTTTTTTTTATTAATAAGACATGTCGTTATGATGTTATTGACGCACAATTTACATGAACACTGGGCTACGTTTTGAAATTATTACGTCTGATTATTATTTCTATTTCGCCGATAACCGAATCGGTTTTTTTTTTACATTATAGATACGTCGTCAAAGAAGTAGGTACTTAATCATGATATATGCTACTCATTTTGCAATATTTCCAAAAAAGTTTAATGATACTTCATATAATTTTTATGATTTGATACTATTATTATCAAAGACAAATAAGTAATAGACTAAAATAAAATTATAAACAAATATACAGGTGTATTTGAATATAATTCGCATAGTATTTATAAAACAGAATATTTTTCAATTCGTTTGATTTGCTTACCTAATAGTGGAATATACACACATTTAAGTAGTAAAAATGTTTAACCATGCTACGTCTAAATTTAAAAATTTTCAAATATCTTATTGTTATTACATAATATTCAAATTAAATGAGAGTTTTTTATCTGAACTCATGAAGGTGAGGAATTCATATCATATATGTATTCTGTAATAAATGTTGTCAATGAACCTATACACTCGACATAGTCACATAAGATTACTAGTAGAACAAACTAAACTAATGTCTATATATATGCATACTATACATATAATTCAATTATGCAATTATTCAATACTCATTTTCTGCCTACAATTTTCAACGTTAAAAAAAATTTTAATTTTGAAGATTAGTTTAGATTGAACTTCAGAAATGCAAAATTTATATTAATTTAGTAAAATTGAATTTATAATATGTATAGCACTAATGCGTTTAACTAAAGAATATAGTTTTTCCTTTTTCGAATTAAATTATTGACATATTAATCATAATAATTATATATATATATATATATTTATATATAAAGCTTATTTATTAACTATTCTATAAATAGCTATAATTAAAATTAGATCATGACAGTTTTAAGAGATATTGAATTACATATACATTTACTATGGATAATTATTGATATTAAAACAAAGTAATCGATAAAAAAAGTATTTATGTTCCTAAATATATAGTATTTAAAACATTGTTAGCGTAAAATATAATAGTACTATAAGGTCAAACGTCGAATATTTCAATTGTTATTTTCGAAGAAATGAATCGAATATTTAATTCGTTACTAATGATATAGTAATCAGTTATCAAATTATAAACATCGACTAACCAACTTGGATAAATTAAATATGATTAACATATATGGTAACACACTCTTGAACGGTGATTATTAACATCATAATATATAATATATTATATTAAATACTTATATTATACATTTCTTTTTTCATTTGATCAAAATAATTTTTAAAAATTGTAATAAATAGAAGTAACCAGTAGATAAATACATTATGAATATTTATGATTTATTCTAATTTTGTGCTTTTTATATTCTATTCAATATTATTCTCTTTATAGTAGTATAAATAAAGTTTAAGTTATCAAAATGTTAAACTTTATTTATACTTTATTTATCGATACACATACAGTTGACATAAGACATAAGTCCAAAAATTGAATAACCACCTCCTTCCTTAACCGGTCAATGGTCTTGCATAAAAAATTGGTCACGTAAACGCAATCATTGTTTATGATTAACAGATAGGCGAAAAATGTTGGGTCGTATGTGATTGCAGAACAAAACAAGAAGGCACACGCGAGTGTCATTCACAAGGTTAGCTGTATTTTATTTTGAAACAAATCAAGTAAATCGCAAGGAATCACGATTATTACTTAAATTAATGTTTAACAATATTATTTACAATAAATTCTATCAAAGTACCGTTTTTAGGTGTAAATAATTTATACCAAACGGAACTAAACTTTTCACCTTGACTTAAAAATTAGGTACACTATTTTTTTTTAATTTAACGCGTTTGTTGTAAAAAAAAAAAATATTTCTATATTTTCTTATTTTTTTTTTATTTTACGCCTAATGTATAAATTTCGAAACCACATATAAACTTAATAACTATAAATAATAATGTACTCCTCTATCGTTTTAAGTGCTGTTTTATCTTATCAACAAAACGATTTCAATAATTGCGAAATAATGTGTAAAAGTGAAATATTGCAATAGTCATCAATAATTAATCATTCAATCATTTAATGGTTTACAAAAGTGATAAATATTATAATTAATATCTATTAAAACGCTGTTTTGATTTATATTTTTTCAAAGTTCTTTATGCACTGATATATTATTATATTAGTTATACCAGTTATTAATACTTAAACAAAAATTGTTGTAAGAAAATAAATATTTTTGTATCAAAATTATCTGAATTAATTCAATAATTCTAATACTTTTATTAAAATTTATTTTTCTCAATAGTAATTAATAAATTATGCTGACATAAAAATCAAAATTCAGTTAAGTTGGAATAAATACTCCCATATACCAAATAGTAGAACCGTATTAACTCTTAAATTTTATGAACGTTTACGCAATTTTTCAATAAAAGAGTAGAGACATGTGTGTATTTTTTAAACATCAACACATGGGTAAATAATGCAATACATAATCATTTTAATATAAGTTGTTAAGTAATTGTACTTTTTTAAACCATATATAATCCACATATACTTCTCAATGGTATAAAAACATCACACATACGAATACACACTAAAATTCTTTGTAATTTTTAGCTGTTGTGTGTAAATAAATAGCTGATTGTAGATATTCTAAACTCATCGCTATAAAATGTATTACGAAAATTTATTTTCCATCGCTCATAACATGGTAGTATGTATAAACATATACGTATATTGTCGAATTATAAATATACAAATCGTGTAGGAGACACTTAGTAGTCGTAGTCTATTTTTATCGGTAGTGCACATGTCGCAGTTATTTGTATTATTATATCACATTGTCATTTTAAAACTGTTATAAGATCAATGCACAAAAATAGCAAACTAAACGGATTCCGCTCGCGGTGTAATGCATAGACTATATATGATATAGTGAATGGCAGACACGTTTCTCGAATGCTAACGAATTAGCGGTAAAATACTTTTTGCCAAG